TTTCTTTCTCTCCTCTGTCTCTCTCTCTGTCTCTCTCTCTGTCTCTCTCTCTCTCTCTCTCTCTCTCTCTCTCTCTCTCTCTCTCTCTCTCTCTCCCTCCCTCTCACATAATCTCTCTCCCATCTTTCCTTTCCCCTCTATCCACCAGCCCAATCTGTTAAGTCTCTAGAGACCCTAAGGGCAGGCACTGGCCTTGCCAGGCAATCCAGGGCGTGGGAGGCTGCCAGATCCCGGGCCTACTTCCCAACGGACGGATGGATGCTGGAGCTCCGAACCCTGGGAAGGCTCCCATCCTCCTCCAAGCCTCCGCCCCCTACCCCTCTCTGAGGTCACTCTACAACTATGTGGGCCTAAGAGCCTGGTGGGGTCTGGGCAGTTGGTGAGCAGGCAAAGACAGGGTGGAGTTGAGGAGCCCAGGGAATTGAGATTCCTAACCTCTTCCCATCTTCCCCGCAGGAGCACGGGCTGAGGTGGATGACCCCTTTGTGGAGAGCCCAGGGAACATCACCGGTTCCCGGGGCATCACGGTGGTCCTTCGCTGTGAGCTCAAGGTTCAGGGGGAACCCGCTGAAGTGAACTGGCTTCGGGATGGACAGGTCTTGGAGCTGGCGGACAGCACTCAGATCCAGGTCCCCTTGGGTGAAGACTGGCAGGATGACTGGAAAGTGGTCAGCCAACTCAGGTGTCCAGCTTCTCACTGACCAGCCATGCCCTAAGCCCCTTCTTCTCCCTGTCCATGTTCCCCACTTATACAGCCTTGAACACTTGCTGACCATGTAGCTTGGAGCTTAGGGCATGACCTCTGTGTTTCATTTTCATCTTCTGTAAACTGAGTTTAAAATAGTTCTAGCTTCATCCTTCCTGTGAGGTCCTGGTGCCCCTCTTTCGGTTCTGCTGACCCTTCCCAGTGTCCAGCTCTGACCCAGAACCTCTCCATCCCTCCTCTTGCCCCATTAGCATCTCCTCCCTGCAGCTTGTGGATGCAGGGTGGTACCAATGTGCCATGGACCTGAAAGGACAGCACTTCGTGTCCCAGTCTGGCTATGTAGGGCTGGAAGGTGAGTCCTGAGGTCACAGGGTGCTAGGGGATTCAGGGTATCCGCCTAGGCATGTCAGAGGTCTCAGGGAGTTGGGAAGCTAGGGGTCCATAATTATGGGGAAGAGGGCCTGGGACATCATATGTCCTGGGGGATAAACATCTCAGGGGTATATTTGTTGTCCTGTGCGTCAGAGGTGCTAGAGTAAGACATTCTGGGGATCAGAGGCACATGACTTGACCTTCTCTCTTCCCCCAAGAGACCTCACTTTCTTCATCAGCAAAAAGAGATGACAAGTCCTACATTTTGAAAAAAGAGACAGAAGGGGCTCAGATCGATGGGGAGGGTCAGGTAGGGGGAATTATATGTTGGGGTCGTATGTTCTGAGGATACAGGTCTAAGGAGTCAGACATCTAACGGGGACTCAAATGTCCAAGGGATCAGACATCAGGGAAGGTAGGTCAAAGGCCCTATGGAGTTGGTCTGCTATGCAAAACCTCCAGCACCCAGGGATGGGTCACATAGTTGGAAGGTTTGGAGGAACCTCAGCCTCTATCACTGGCCTTCTCCTAGGCCTGCCTTACTTCGTGGAGGAGCCTGAAGACAGGACTGTGACTGCCAACACACCCTTCAATTTGAGCTGCTGGGCCCAGGGACCACCAGAACCAGTGCACCTACTCTGGCTACAGGATGCTGTTCCCCTGGTCCCATCCTCAGGCCACAGCCCCCAGCACAGCCTGCAAGTTCCAGGTGAGACGGGGATTTGGGCCTGGTGTGAGGAGAAAGCCAGACTAGGTAGATGTTCGGCCCTTCCCTACTGCCCCTGTGTGACTGCCTCTCTGTCCCTCTGCCCTTATTGTATGAGTCTCTGTCTCTCTCCTCATTTTCTATGTGCTTTTCTCTGTTCTCCATCCCTGTCTCTCCATTGCTTTCTCTGTCTGTACCTCATCTCTCAGCTCTGCTTCTCTCTCCTTCCATTTAGCCCAGCCTCTCTCTGAATAGCATTCTTTGTCCCAAACTTCCTCTGAGCTGTTCTGTGGCCCAAGCATGTGGGACTGGTGCCCCTTTGTCAGCCCTTGACCCAAACAGAGCCCCAGAATCAACCTTTTCTGCCCCCTTCCTCCCATCGCCTGCCATGTCCTTCCCTGAAGAGTTCTGCTGGTCTCTGTCCAGGGGTCACATCCCAAAGAAGAAAGAAAGGAGAAGCAGGAGGGAAAGAAAAACAATCATGGGGGTTAGAATGAGAGAAACAAGAAGGGACAGGTCACAGAAGCAACCCAAGATTCAGAGAACAGACTGGGATGTCTGAATGATACAAGCCCCTCCTTCAGGGCGGCCCTCCCTTCTGTATCACACAGATCCAGCACCTTGCTGAGGGTCACTTGGACTGGACAAGAGGCTTCCCCTAATGGAGGGAGGAGAGACAGAGGCATACAGATTGGGGTGGCTGAGTGAGGGGAGGCTGCTGAACTCTCAAGAGCCCGGTTTGCCAATCCCTGATCTGATACTCTCCACTGCAGGGGTGGAAGAGGAGTCTCTCCTGGGGTGGAGGGACAGGCCCACATTCTCAGCATTCTGGGGCCCCTGAGTGTGCAAGGAAGCAATGATAAGCACATTGGCCCCCAGAGGGATGACTCAGGCCCATGGCTCCAGTGGCCTCAGTAGGGGCATGGATGGGGCCTGAGTCAGCCTGGCAGGACCTGGGAGAGGGGCAGGGATGAGTGGGAGAAACAGGGGTGTGGGGGTGAGAGAATTTGTGCATGATGTGCAGTGATAGAGGGATACACATACAGGGTTCTAGAGTTGCATCTTTATCCCCTGGATCTGTGTGTCTGCGTAGCTGATGGCATCAACCTCTGTATGAAGACGTGTCTCAGAAAGGGTCAGATTTGTGGATGTCTGTGGACATTGCTGGGTATACAGTGTCAGGCTGCATCTATCTCTTTGTGTTTGTGTGTTCATAGGGGTTGACACTGTGTAAGAGTGAAAGGGGCATGACAGTGGGCTTTGTGGCTATTTTGCACACCTCTGTCTATGCAGAGGTGACAATGTCAACTCACAGGTGTGCACCTAACAGTGTGTGTCCGGGTATGGGTTCTTCTTCCCTATGGAATCAGGATGTGTCCACAGATGTTGGTATGTTTCTTATCAGCTGTCAAATGTATGCTTGGTTGATGTCTCTGTAGTGTGTGTGTATATATTATAAGGTATGAGTGTTGGCGTGTGACTACTTCCCCATGGAATCCTGGGTTCCATGTGTGAGAGAGAAAAAGAGAATGAGATTCATAGCAAGATAGTAAGAACACTTTCTGCTTCTGTCTGCTACCCTGGGGTGTGGGGCAGCCTTGACTGTCTCTTGGTAGTGGACCCTATGAATCAGCCCACAAATCAGCATGTACCTGTACATCTATATCAACTTACATGTTCGTGGCAGTGTCTCCCTCTTTGTGTGTCCAAAGCAGGCTTGTGTATCTTTGTGGTGGCATATCAGTGTACATCTCAGTGGACTGAAGCTCAGTAGACCTGAGCACATCCAGCTGTTTTGACACAGAGGAAGGCGTGGCTGTGAGTTATGTGCTTATGTGTTTGTGTGGGAACGAGTCAACATTCCCTTTCCTGTGTCCCAGTGTGGATCTCTTTGTCCCTTCCATTTCAACACACCTCTGCTGTGTGGTGTGTGCATCCCAACATACATCGAGGTTTGTCAATATCAACTTCCAGGGCTGGTGAGATGGCTCAGTGGTCTAAAGCACCTACTTAATTTAGAACAAGCTTAGCAAAGCACAGGGACCGCAGTTCAATCCCCCAGCACCACATGCCAGCCAGCCCCGCCCCCTGGTGGGCTGAGCTGGCCACACACACACACACACACAAATAAATTTTAAAAAAAATCAACTTCCAACATGTGTTGCCCGCACATGTGTTTGCTGCACAGTGGTTGTGTTTTTGCGTGTGTCCCAACACTAACTCATTTGTGTACGTGTAGGTCTCTTTGTTATGTGCACCAGGGTATAGCCCTGTGGGTTTACCAGTCAACCACTGTCTATTTGTGTCACTGTGTGTTTAGGACAGCGTCAGCCCAGTGAGTCTGATGTAGCTTAGTGAGAGGTGCATTTTCTGTGTTGTATTTGTGCTAATAAGGGGCCCTGTGTGTTTAAATGTGATTCATTGTGTGTGGGGGTGTCTTGTGAGGGAATTCTGTTAGTTCTTGCGTCTGTCCCTCTATCTGACTCAGGGTGTGCCCTCTCTCCTTCCATCCCTCTTGTTCCCTTGGAAAAGCTCAGAGGGGGAGGGGAGGTGCAGAACATCTGGAAAGCACATCTGAAGTCCAAAGGCTCTAGTCTCCAGCAGGAGCCACAGCAGAGTAGTCCCTCACACCTTGGTCCCTCCCTTGACCTCCACCCAAGGTGCCTCTGATAGGCTCAAGAGGGTCTCTGGCCCCCAACTCCGCCTGCCGGAACCGGGTGGGGGGCCCGCGGGTGACTCACGCGGGGGCAGGAATGCTGCGGTCGGAACTGGACCAGGCTCCAGAACCCCTTCTCCCCGCTTCCCACCCCCACGGCCCCAGGCTGCCCAGCTCGCTGTGCCAGCTCCCGCACTGTGACCCTGGCGGGCCCCCCACGTGCCAGGTGGTTGGACACGACCCAGCTGCCCCCCCCCCCGTTCCGGCCCGCGGGGGCTGCAGGCGGGCACCTGACCTCGGCTGGGAACGCAGCCGCCTGGCCAGGCCGGAGCCTCCCTGCCCTCCCCCTTCCGGCCTCGGCGACTCTCTCAGTCCAGCTCCTCCGGGCGGCGGAGCAGAGGAACCGAGGAAAGGAAACTTTGTGTCTGCGCGTGAAGGCCACGCTCCCCAGCAGCTGGGGGCGGGAGCGCAGATGCCACACAGCACTAGTGCGGGGCGGGCGGGAGGCCCCAGATCCCCGCGGCTCTGGCCCTGGGTGCACAAGCACAGGGGCGCATACGCTCAGGGTCCCTCCGAAGATCAGGGTCCCTCACATCCTGTGGTGGCCACGGTGTGCGTGTCTTCTGTGTGTGCTGTGTCTCGTGTGTTTGTGTGTCTGTCTCTTGTATGCACCTTTGGTTACACATATACACACACAAAGGTTCGTGCTTACAAGTACAGAGCGGGGACAGCAGACAGTTAAAGAGAGGTCTGCATCTTACACAGCAGGGTCAGGGACAGCGTTACAGAGGTGTCTTTTAGGATCCAACAGCAGAGGGAGAGCCAATCAAGGGAAGACTGTTCCCCAAGCAGAGGAAACTGAAGTGCTTACTTCCCCAGGGTGGGAACATGCCGCATGCGCGAGTATGTGTGCGTACACGTGGCCTCGAGTTCGTGTTCCAGAAACACCCAGAGGCCAGGCCAGCGTGGTGGGAATACACTGGGCTAGGAGAGGCGAACGGGGAAGAAGAGCAGACCCTCCCTGGTACCTCCACACACGTGCACATCTGTAGGTGTGTATGTATTAGGTGTATGTGCCTCCGTGTGTCTGGGTAAGTCAATATAAATGTCTGCGTACATGCATGCATCTGCATATTTCTCTGTACATACGTCTACCTGAAAATGCCTGTGTATTGGACACTGAGTCTGTACACGAACATGTGTGTATCTGGGTTGCTCTCTTTGTGTCTGTCTGGATATTGTGTGTGTGTGTGTGTGTGTGTGTGTGTGTGTGTGTTTTGTGTGCTGTGTGTGTGGGTGGAGAAAGGGTAGAGCTGAGCCCATGTACAGCCCATAGACAGCCTGTTCCTATATTTGGGGACAGGGCCTGTTCCTAACTCAGCTGCCCTCCGCTTTGTGCCCCCTTTATGCTCAGAGGAGCTTGGCTGGCCTGACACTGGTCATTCAGAGCATATGGGTGGCCCAGCCTGGCCCAGAGCTCTCCCCTTCCCCCATTTGACATTGGCTCCTCCCTCATATGTCTCCCTAGGCCTGAGCAAGACATCTTCTTTCTCCTGCGAAGCCCACAATGCTAAGGGGGTTACCACATCCCGCACAGCCACTGTCACAGGTGATGGAAAGGAGTCTCTGAAGACCAGTATCAGAGGGAGGGTCCGGGGCCCAGGGCTGGAGTGGGAAGCAGAAGACAGATTAAGGAGTTTGAGGCCAAAGTCTCCCAGGGATACTCACTCCCCTCATCTGTCCACAGTACTCCCGCAACAGCCCCGAGACCTCCACCTGGTTTCCAGCCAGCCCACGGAACTAGAGGTGGCTTGGACCCCTGGCCTGAGTGGCATCTACCCTCTTACTCACTGCACCATACAGGTGAGATCCTCTGACACTGGTCACCTCAGTCTCAGCCCTCTGTCTGACTGCATCATCCTTGCCTTTTGAGACCACTGGTGTGTTAGAGGTAACAGAACTTGGGTTTACAAGAGATGTCTTCCATTCAAATCCTGACTCTGTTACCTACTGACTGCATGAGCCTGAGAAGTGACCCAGTCTCTCTGGGTTGTACTTCTTTCACCTATAAACAGGCACCAACAAACTGATCCGCTTGAGAATTAAATGAGTAAATGCAGGTAGCAAACTTAAAATGATATGTAAAACAAAGGAGGTATCCACGAGGCTCAGGAGCTATTTCTGTCACCTTGGGCACCCACAGTTCTGCACTCTTGCCTCTCGGCCCTGGCCACTGTGGGTCGTCACTGTCTGGGGTAAGTCTGTCCCCCACTGGTCTGTGGCCTGTGTGAGGGTCACACTGGCTCCTCACTGCAGCCAGCACAGCCCAGAAACTGGGACTGTTTTCTGCATAAGACCAACTAGACCCAACCTCTGCCCTGAAGTTGCTCCTATGCTGGAGCAAAAAATCCCCACATAGACAAACACAAATAGATCACCCCACTCTGTAAGCACAGAGCTCATATCAAGTGTGAAATTCTCTGAGATTTGGAAGTTGGAGGTGAAGGTTGGACAGTGCCTATGATGTAGGAGGAGACGAGAGCCCCTGAGGCCCAATGTGCAGGGAGTGTTAGCTGTGTGCTAGGCTTTGTTTCACGGCTTGTGCACTTTCCCTTGTGTGTTTGTGAAGGACGGTCTGTGGATGGACCCATTGTCCAGATGAAGAGACC